AACAGAAAAAATGTTTAATAATTGTTTCAATTGTCTTTATTGCAGCTTATTTTGTGTCCTAACATGTATCTGTCCTACTAAATATTGCATGTGCTACACATGAATAGAATATACTGAATTTTGGGATGAAATGTTCTTTTAATATGTATTAATTATCTGGCTTAAAGTGACATTTAAGGCCATTGTTCCTTCAATGATTGACTGGGTGATCTATCCATTGACGTAAGTGGAGTGTTAAAGCCCCCAACTATGTAAATATTGTCAAATTCTCCCTTTATGTCTGTTACTATTTGCTTCAAATATTTAGTGTTTCTGTGTTGGGTGCATAGATACTTACTAATGTTATATCCTGTTCTTGGATGGGCCTTTTTATTGTTATGTAATGTCTTTGTCTCCTTTTAAAGCCTTTGTTTTAAAGTCTATTTTGTCTGATAAGAGCATTGCTACTCCAGCATTCCTATATGCATGGAATATCTTTTGCATCCGTTCATTCTCTGTGTCTTTTGGTCTGAAGTGAGTGTCTTGTAGGCAGAATATAAATGGATCTTTTTCTTTCATCCATTCAGCCACCCTGTGTCTTCTGTCTGGAGTATTAACTCAATTTACATTTAATGTAATTACTGATAGGTATATACTTATTGTCACTTTGTTAGTTGTTTTTTGGTTGTTTTGTAGCTTTTCCTCTGTTCCTTTCTTCTCTATCACTTCCCTTTTGCTGATTTTTTTTTGTTTTATTTGGGTCCTTTTCCCTTTTTTTGGTATCTTTTTGTAGGTGTATGGTTACCATGAGGTCCATATATATTGATTTATAGCTATAGCAGACTGTTTTCAGCTGACAGGCATTCAGGTTTGAACACATTTTAAAAGTGCTACATTTTTATTTCACCACCTCCCTCCTTTGTTTCTGACAGCAGATTTGTGTATCTGCAACTACTTATTATAGTTAGAGTTGATTTTGCTACTTGTTAAATTTTTAAGTGTTAATTCACTATTATATATTTGCCTTTAACAGTGAGATTTTTTCTTTCTATATTTTGTTTCTGGTTATGGCTTTTTTTTTTTTTTTTTTTTTTTGCTTAAAGACAACTCTAACATGTCTTGCAAAGCTGGTTTAGTACTGATGAACTTCTTTTGCTTCCTGAGAAACTCTATCTCATTTAATGCTGAATGAGAACCTTGCTGGATAGAGTATTCTAGTTAGTAGATTTCCTTTTTCTCAGCACTTTAAATATATCCTGCTACTCTTCTGGCCTGTAAAGCTTCTTCTGAAAACAATCAGCTGACAGCCTTACAGGATTTCCCTTATATGTGTCTGGTTCTCACTGCCTTCAAGATTGAATCTTTAACTTTCCTTATGTTAATTACAATATGTCTTGATATGGGGGACTCTGAGCGTTCTGGACCTGGATGTCTCTTACCTTCCCCGGGTTAGGAAAGTTTTCAGCTAACTAATCTATTTTTCTGTATTATCTAATCAATTTTTCAAACTTTTTCATCTCATGGCACATATAAACTAATTACTAAAATGTATTTTTTGACCAAAAAAATAGGTATAATTCTGATTTATTTATACAGAATGGCTATTGGGTTGGTTGGTGTCTTTTTTTTTTTTTTTTTAATTTGACAATCTAAGGGAAAAGAGGTCAATGCCCTGACTAAATAGTCAGGTACTGCATGTTTTAAAAATTCTTGCAGCACATTCATTGAAAATTGCTGATCTAATCTACTGTTGATTCCCTGTAGTGTTTTTCATTTCAGTTATTGTATTCTTTAGCTCTGACTGGTTCTTTATTATATCTTCCAACTCTTTCTTGACACTGTCACAAGTCCCTTATTCTACTTTCGGGTTTGGTGAGCAGCTTAAGGACCATTACTTTGTCCTTTATTAGGCAAATTACTTGTCTTGGTTTCACTAGTTTTTTTTCTTGTTCCTTCATTTGGAACATATTCCTTTGTCCTCTCATTTTGTTTGACTTGCTGTGTTTATTTCTATGCCTTAGACAAAACAGCCATCTCTCCCAGTCGTGAAACAGTGGCCGGGGTGGGAGCACCCTCTGTGTAGGCTGGGTGCCAGGAGGTTGGGGCAGGCCCCTGGAGCCAGCACGGGCGTGCGTGGCGCCTGGGATGCTCTGAGCGGCCAGCTGGCTGAGGCAGCCCCGGCCGCAGCGCCACACGGGCTGCCCCGGTCCAGCTTGGGGAGAGGCGGCCTGGGGTGTGCAGCGGCAGCCTCGCAGGTTGGCTCCTTGGACAGGCTCCCACCCATGCAGCGTAGGTTGCAGGGGGCACACAGTGACACTCAGCAGCGTCTCAAGTCCTGGAGGGTTCGTGTGATTCCCTTTCTTCTCCATGCGGTCTCTCTCGTGCAGCAGCTGTTAATCCGCTGTTTTTCAGGAGGAATTGCTGTGTATGTAGGTTTCTTGTGGGTGAGTTCAGGGTCACCCAATGCTCCCATCTGGTAGGAATGCCCCCGCTGTGTGGTGTTTTCTCCAGACACCATCCATGATGTCCCACAGTTCAAGTCCGGTAAGTGTGTGTGGTTAGTGGAGATCCCACCAGTGAAGGGATCAGTGCTACAAGACTGTCCCTACTGCAGACACTGGTCTCAGGCCCTAGGTTGACACTTGTTCTTCTGACGGACGAGCTGTTAATTGGAGCTGTCCATAACCCCTTCTCTGGGTTCAATAATTTGCTAGAATGGCTTCCAGAATTCAAGAAAAACACTTTATTGCATCTGTCGGTTTATTATAACATGCAGCTGTGGAACAGCGCAGTGGAGGAAGTGCACAGAGCACTGTGTGAGGGCCATGGGGTGCTCAGGGTGCCCATCCTTGTCCAGGCTCTTCCGCCAGAGCCTTACCATTTAGCTGTCCTTATGGAGGGGCCATTATGCAGGCGCCGTGCACTGAGCTGTTGGCCAGTGGTGACCGCGTTCAGTCTGCAGCCTGTCTCACCTCTCTCGGGGTCGGGGGTGACAGTGCCAGTTCCAACCCGTCATCCCATGGTGACCTCCCCGGGCAGCTGGCCCTCACCTGAACTGCCTGGGGGCCACCAAGACGCGCCTCATTAGCACAGATTCAGGTCCGGTTGAAAGGGGCCTGTTATGAAAACCAGAAGATGCTCCTATCACCTCTGTCACGCAGGAAGTCCCAAAGGTTTGGAAGCTGCATCAGAAACCTCCACGAAGATCGGGTATGAACAGGGCGGGGCAAAGTAGGCTCACAGCTGAGAGTACACGGAACAGTTTATTCTGTATTTTCCATATGAACAACTGTAAACCTACTTCGGCCCCACTCTGTATTTCTTACCACACTAATTTGGGTTGTAAAATGTTTTTTCACCAAGTTACTCTCTGTCTGCTTCAAGGACACAGAACTACACAGCCCATGTGGCATCTGAGCAGCCAGGCTGAGGTCGCAGTGTGCGCGCAGCCCCTCTGTGTGGCGGCCGCTCCTTGGCGCGCTCCTGCTCATCTGCGCGGGCACGTGGCCTCCCTCAGGCGCAGCGTGCTGGCTTCGTGTCCCTGTGCCCCGGCGGGCTCTGACGTGGCTGTGGGGACATTCTATGTACCGTGACGGCTGAGAAAATGTGAAATCAGGCCCAACTCTAATCTGATTAAGAAAGCAGGAAAATGTGCGTTTTTTAAGAGTTCCATCTGCTGGAGTCAACACCTAGGTCTTTAAAGCGGCTAATCTTTCCAGGCACACATTTCTCATTTTTTCTAAACCCCCTCACATAGTTCCACCTTAATTCTCCCTTTTCTGGTTGGTGAACTCTCTCCTCAGCACGCGGGGCACAGCTGCCTCCTCAGACCATCGCCATCCACAGCTTACTCTCAAGGGTTTAAGGTGACGGAAGTTAAACCAGCAACCTGCCATTTGCTGACCTCCGCAGGCCAGAGTTCACGCTTCACCAGGCAGCCGCTGTTCTCCAGCACAGACTCAGGCTGCAGGGTAGCGGCAGCGCTGCCACTGGCCGCCTGGTCCGAGTTAGAACGAAGGCACGTGTGTGGGAGGCTGCAGCCCCCGCCAGGACGCAGGACTTCAGCCCACACTGACCCTTCACGCAGGGTGTGGCCCGTATGCTGTATAGGAAAGGACACACAAAGTATGTCCTACTTTTGGAAATTGTGGAATTGGTCTGAGCTCGTGTTTCCAAGACAACCCCTTAGCTAAGCAGTGGGCCCCACTCACTTCACACAGGCAGTCCCTGTGCAGTGGGGACCAGGTGGTGTGCCCCGCTCTGACCTGTTGGGGTCCCTCAGTCACACCGCAGACTGGTCTTGGCCAGCTCCCCCTGAGAGTGCGGGGACCGTGCAGCCCCTCCCTGAGAGCACCGTCCGCGGTCGGGAAACACGCTGCCCGCCGGCCAGGACAGCTGCCCGGCCCTGTGAATGAGCTCTGCGGCGCCTCTCAGACTTCAGAGGAGAAAGTAAAATCCAGGTGAAGTTTTACGATATTTCACTGTCGGTTTTGCTATTCATTTTAAAAACGATGATCTCGATTAGATCAAATAGAGAGTATCACTTTAGATCAATTTCAAGGATGCTTCAACGTATCTTAAAAGGGGGAAATTACCATTTGCATTTTCCTATCAACTGTTTTATAACTTTGTGAAGAAAGGTCATTCCTTTGAGATGGAGAGTTCTAAAGCTACGTTTAAATGATAAAGAATCAAAACTGATGACATAACACACAGAAATAGTCAGCTTCTGTATTAAAAAATGAGGCAAATGAAACCTGTTTCTAAGAATGCAACTGACCAGATGTTACTTTAAACTTACCTCAAAGGTGCATGTTATTGACTGAGCTTGGGAAAGCACTGTCCCTGCTGCCGGAGCTGAAGTCCTCCCTGGCTCAGAGCCCCGCAGGGCGCCCCCACGGCTCCGCCGCCTCTGCCACGCACACACGCACGCCGTCAGAATCATGCCATTTGCGAGTGAGGGTAGAAGGGACCATCGTGGCGTGCAGAATTCCTAAATTCTGATTTTTGTCTCTTCTTAGGATGTTATTCCCCGAAGCGCAGCGCGTAGAAAGCACTGGAAAGCTGCTGCAGCTGGCAGATGTGGACCCCACTCTCCGCCCCAGCCAGCTCTCCGTCCCCCATTTCAGGAGCCTCTGTGATGTCTACCGGAAGATGTGTGATGACGACCCACACCTCTTTGCTTATAATTTCAGAGAAGAACTCAAGAAAAATAAGTGCAAAAATCAGGAAAAAAAGGGTGACAGGGAGAGCTCCCGGCTGTAGTGGCCACTGCAGGGGCCAGCGCTTACCGGGCGCGGATTTTCACGAGGTCGAGCGCCTCGCGTGTGAACTCTGACTTCCACAGAACGACAAGAACCAGTTACCAGGTGGGACGTTTTTCCCGTTTACTGTACAGCTTGGTAGAGAAAATAAATATGATAATCAAGTTACAGTACAAGCTTTCTTTTAATATATACTGCATAGATATGACATGTTTAGTATAAACAGCGTCTATTACAACCTTACAAAAATGAAATATCTGCACATTGTGCCCCTAACCCACATTGAAATAATTTAAATATGCTTTAAATAAAGCAAAAACTAACAGCTCAAAGAAAATGCCCAGAGGATTGAAAAGAATGACTTTTTTAAAAAGCTATTAATCATGACTTCCCCACCTAACTTTTTCCACATAAGTTAAAATAATTAGACTGCAGTGTTAAGGGTTCTAAGTCATTTTGATACCTGCTCAAAAGGGATATAAACTAAGTAATTTACAGATTCTGACCAGTTTAATCTAGTTTTCTGATCCACAATAAATTAAAATAACTTAAATCTTTACAGCTATTTTGTGGGAAAATGTATACTGCACAAAACCCAACAATGAATAGTTTTCCTGCAATTTCCACTTTACCACCAGTTTAAAAGTGAAACGAGCAATTTAACCCAGGTGGGTTGAAACTATGACTTTTCGTGGCTCTGTGTTTCATAAAAACAGTCCTCGCTGACGGCCGACGTTAAACTCTGGACGCTGAATTCTCGCTCCAGGACAGAGTTGAGGTCGAGGCTGGCATTCTCAGGCTGGCTGTCAAGGGACTGGTGGCGCGTCTGAGCCTTCAGCAGGGTTCCCCTGTCCCTCTTGGTGCTGTTTGCCTTCCGTTTAATGGCACAGAAGTGCCCCCGGACCAGTCTGCGCTGTGGCGCCTCGGGCGGGCCGTCCGAGTCGGGCTGCCGCCCCGCCGGGGGACACGTGTCGGGGTCCTCGGAGATGCTCAGTCTCTGGAACTGAATTTCAATGTCTTTGGTGGGGCTGCCCTGTTTCGGAGTCTGATGGTGGTCCTCGTCCTCATCGCTGAGGATATCGCTCTCTTTGATGAGACTGTCTGAAAAGTCCGGGAGGCCTGCGTGCAGGAGTTTGAGGGGGTCCTGCCCGCCGCCGGCCGGGTGGCAGCCACTGCTCTGGGTGCTGCTGCTCAGGCTGCAGTCGTCGGAGTCCAGCGAGCTGCCCTTGCCGGGCGCGCCGGGCTCGCCGGGCCACTCACTGCGCGAGGGGCTCTTGAGGACCTTTAAGGACCTGGATGAGGCTGCAAGGAGAAAAGCACATGGCCCCTTGTGACAGAAGCAGGTACCAGGATGTGTAACGTTTGCACTGTAAGTCATATGATTAGACACCTGAATTACTTAAGGTTTTATCATCTCACTTCAGTTACCAAGTGTCCTGGAACTTGGGCAAAAAAGGAAAAAAAGGAAAAACACATGTAGGTAACTACAGGTGTGGAAATTTTATCTGAAACTTTACATGGAGGGATTTGGTATTCTTAGATGACCAGTTATCAGAGCTCAATTATTTAGACAGAAAAATAAGCTATAAACTACCGAGGGCTAGAATTCTTATTTTGCCAATGGAGAAATTGAAAAGTTAGTTAGAAACTGAGGTTCCTTTTCTTCGCTAACTTTGTAATTTGATAACCAAATTACACTATTTCTATGCCTACCTTATTTATTTCCCTTGCTGCTTAATTAAGAGAAAAATGCTCTTTCTCTCTGCTGAAACTCCTAACCAACTCTCAGAGATTTAGTAGGAATATGTAATCGTGTGTGCACGCGCACATGTGTGTTCCACTTCTCCTGGGTTGGCGGGGAAAGGAACTCTGAGGGGTTTGTGCAGATAATACCCTATTTTCATGGCCATGGCTTACTTTGGCAAGAGAGAAAAAGTGGAAGATAACACAGTTAATCTGAAGAGGTCAAACTGACCAAATAAGACATACATATATTTTGTAAGTGTAGAAACAAAACCTAAGATAATAAAAGTTAATCTAGAAAGAAGAGTCTAAAAACTTAAGCTCAAAGTTTAAAAACAGGCAGAAGGTTTAAGACCAGTGTGATTTGGAATGTTTACCTGCTGACCTATTGACTGGACAAGAGTGAGTGTTTAGGTTCCTTGACCTTAACGCACTGAGTACTGACTTTCCAGGTGCCTTGCACTGGTCTGAGCACCAGGAATACCGCAGCGAGCAAAACCAAGTCCCTGGATTCCTGCCCACCTCGGTGGAAGACACAGACCGGGTGGCGAGCAGAGCCCTAGTTGGCTGGTTGGCAAGACGGGGATGTGGGGCTGGGGTTGCTATGTTGTGTAAAAGGAGGTCTGGGAGCAGGAGGTGCGTTTAGGTTTCTTAAAATAAAGTTGCCGCTGCTGTCTCACCCCACCCTGTGCATTGGGGTGCTGGTTTAAGAGCTTACGGTTTCCCCTGATAATTTGCAGAGCAGTGACTTAGCGCTGCATTACATGGAGCCTGCCTCCTTTTAGAGAAGCTTGAGTTTTAGTAAATGCACACGAGGCGACCAAAGTTCTCACCTAATTTGGCTGAAACGGGAACACGGTTCTTGAGCGGCACTAGGCGATCCTTGCACGTTTTCTCCAGGGGAAGTTCACTCTTGATGTGACGCCGGAAGTTCTCCCTCAGGATGGATCGGATCACCTTGACGATGTTGGTTTTGCTTTCACTGTCACTGAGGGGGACCAGGGAGGGAGAGTCAAACGGCATTAGTGTCCAGTGTCATCGCGCTCCAAGTCCCTGTCCCCCGGTCTTCCTGTGGCACATTGCTGCTCTCCGGACAGACTGAGAGCAAGTCACCAACCTCTATGTGCTTTGGTCTCCTCACAAAAGAAGTGGGAATGGAAGTCCATGGAGCACCAGGATTTGGGGACATTTTTAATGTGTATTCTATACTAGACCCACAGCTGTCCTTTAGGGTAAAGGGGTGTGATCCTGAAGTCATCCAAATTCAGGAGGGCACTAAAAATAAACCTTTCTAAGAGCACATCGTTCTAGCTTACTCCCGTTGTCCTCCGCGCTGGAAGTCGGTAATACCTGCAGCCCAGCTGGAAGATGGTTTCTGGCCGTCCTTCTGTTTCCGACTTGGTGTGGATCAGCTCCCATGTGGAATTATTTTCCGTCCCTGGTAAAAGGCAAGAGAAACTACAGTGCACAGCTTGGCCAAAGAGGCTGGCGAACAACACTTGGGAAGTGCGAAACTCATCGTTTCGTCACTTCCCAAAACGTCAAATACTCCCAACCCTGATTCTCATCCAGTGGTTCATTCTGTATGTGACTTCCACAGATACTTAGAAAAAGTTAAATACTTCCTCGTTATTTTACTTTTCCTGCTGAAGTTTTCTATCTCTTTGAGTGCTTCCTCCCTGCCCCTGGGTTCTCTCTCTCTCTGTGGAAGAGGTTAATTTTTGCCTGTTTTTCAACCCCGCTCCTTGGAAGGAACGGTAAGTAGGGAGTGCTCGGGTTCTCGAGGTGGAAGAGGCCAACCCCAGGTTGACCCGTGCTGTGGGAAGCACGGGCACGCCAACAAAAACTGAACGGGGCCCAAAATGTCGCGGCCTGCGGGTCCTTTCCATCCGCAGAGGCACTGTCGCCAGAACAGGGTTATTCTGGACGGGTGCCCCGATGATTTTTGTTTAACAGGGCTGAAGATTTTCTTTTCTTTTTACGCCATTTAGGATACTGCTTAATCTTTGAAGAATTTTCTGGTGTATCTAAATTTATAAAAATTTAAATTGGCGGACCTTTGTTTCTTTAACAAATTTTAGTATATCAAGGATATTCAGCAGAAAGAAAAATGTTGAAAAAGTACCGATAGTAAAAATAAGGACATATGAAAGGCATTTGGCTAAGGAAAGCCACCCAGTGGCATTTACTTTTCTTCAAAAGTCTGTGGGGAAACAGCCTCATTTCCCTTGTCTCTAAAGATCAACAGTTTTCCCCAGGCTGCTTTCTCCTGTTCTTCGCTGACCCAAACAGTTCTCCTGAAACGGATTTTCTGGCACTGGACCGCAGGAAGCAATCACCTGCCGTATTCCCCAGTCGGACTTGAAGCGCGGATATGGGGACCAGCCAGCGAAACTTGAACGGGTCCCAGTCCGCAGAGCTGTGCGCAGGCCGGGAGTTCGAGGGCTGTAATACAAAGTCCCCGAGGAAGAGTTAAAGCAGGTGCTGGCCCGGGGTGTGCTGGCACAGTGTGGGCACCCTAAGTTCCCCACCCCCCACCGTGCCAGGCTCCTGGGAGCCAGGTGGATGTTCAGGGTGCAAGAAAGAGCTCGGGCATGCTCCCAGCTCTCGGGGGGGCTCCCGGGCTGGGCGGGGATCGGGCAGAGTCGGGGTTTGGGGTGCAGAGGGTTTAGGCTGCCAAGCGGGAACCACCACCAAGCCTTCTGTCTGAATGGTAAGCTGATGGCTTATAGTACCCACAACTGGCTTTTTTCTTTTCTTTTTTGAGTCAAAGTAAAAGTCACTTGAAAACCAAAGTTACACAGACTCTCATGTGTATGGAGCAAGCCTGGACCATTTTCAGAGACAAAAAAGCTGATTTTCTAGGTAGGTCAAGCATGGGGATTTGTCTCCATCTTCTTAGAAAATGGATGTCTTTTGTGGGGAGAATAGGAAGTACCCAGAGTACTTGATTTGGTTATTACCCTGGAAATAAATACAATCAGATGGCGATGCCTGAGTTCGTAGCTGGCTTCTCAGTTCAACATTAATAGGAAAATACAGCCATGCAACGGTAATTTGATTCAAATTAATTCTTGTCTTACCAATTTCTTTTTCAGTTTGCAGTTTTCTTTATAAACCAATATGACAGCTCTCTTAAAAACTAAAGAAGAGAAAAGAGAAAGTCTTTCATTATTTTATGCAAACTCTTCCAAAGGTTGAACTAGAGCTGAATGTTTTAATAGAACAAAGCTCTTCAAACTTTTGAGCCTCCAAGATCTCACTATGCCAGCCCACGAGTGAAAAAATGGTACGTCTTCTGTTTGTATTTGAATTATGCAGAAGTACCTGCTTATTTAAAAGCTATTATCTGAAGTAGACCTTGGCGCTTAAAAAAATTCTTGTTTTGTTTCATTGAAGCCGGAGGACATGGTACTTGTCTCAGAGACAACACACTGTCTACCCTTGCTGTGCCGGCTCTCAGGGAGGATTAAGACACTTTGAAGTGCAGCAAACTGTTAAGTCAGCAGGTTTCAAAATAGCCTTGGGAGTTCTTTTCCTGTAACACGTGGGGAGAACCATGAAGCCAAGCAGCAGACGGAAGAACAAGGTAATGCGTACACAGAGCGATGGAGTTTTAAATGGTTAAGTCAATAGATGTAGTGATTCTAGCTCCTTCAGGAGCCTGGGAGCTGGCTGGACTGGTGGGTTGGTAAGTGCCTCATTATTGCCCGCCTCTTGTAGTTTACAGTCTTGGGAAAGGAATACTAACCAAACACTGTGAGCTCCAGGTCCTTTCTGGCTTTTCCTAGAGACAGAAACGGGTTCAACCAGGAAACTGTAGAGTGCATCAGAAGCTCCCCCATTGAAAGTTCTGTGACCTAAAACACAGGAGATGGAGATGTGGAAACCTGTGGGTAGGCCCATGTCGGAGAGTGAATCACATATAATCACATATGTGTGGTCTTTGCTTACATGCAAGTACATTCAGCTTGATTTTTAAGGTCCATATAATGGGGGGCCTTAAATAATGGAGGGGGCGTTTTTTATAGCTTTTTTTTATCCTCGTCTAGAGAGCGAGGAATATCAATGCAAGAGTGAAGCATCGATTGGCTGCCTCCCGTGCGTGCCCAGACCATGGATCGCACGTGCCTGAACCGGGACTGACCTGCAACTTCAGGCATGTGCCCTGACTGGGAATTGAACTTGCAGCCTTTCAGCTACAGGATGACATTCCAACCAACTGAGCCACCCTGGCCAGAGCAAATAGTGGAGGTTTTGAAAACATGAGCCTAGCATCACACTGTTTGGAAAATAACAAACGTGAAAGCATTTTGCTTCAATTCACACGTAGTGGAACCTCAGTTTTCAAACCTCATTCATTCCAGAAAACCGTTCAAGAAGCGATCTGTTCAAAAACCAAATCTCCTCTGTTGGTCGCCTGATGCATGACAGATCATACAGGTATCAGCATGAAAGGGTTGTCAGGTAGAGAATTGAGACCCAAATTTTGTTAGCCAACCAAGATGTTTTTCCATGAGTATATTTGATTGAAAACAGAATTATCTGAGAATTCAGTTGTTCAAGAACCGAGGTTTGACTGCCTTCTACGTGGGCGAGACCTGCCTCTCCACCACAGCACAAATCCCACCGGCGGAAGGTCCGTCCAAAGCGCCCTCGTCAACGTTTCCCCGGGATCTAGGACAGGCGCCATCTCTAACCCAGGAACTGCAATCCAGGCCTGCTACCAGCACTGAAGCTGACTGTGCGAAAAAGCTAAACTCCAGCTGTTTTCTGGCCTTGCCTTTTTCTACTTGAACTACATTGGTTCTTCTATAGAGACTTGAAAAGCTCAAGATGCTAAATTTAGGAATCAGGTAGGAAAAAATGTAGAAATTGTCAAATTCCACTTAAACTACTTGTGTAAGGAAGAAGGTAGCCACCAGCATTTCATGCTAAAAGGGAAAAAATGGAAGAGAAGCAGCTGCAGGCTCTCTGCGGGGTGGGCTCTGGCGACCTCCGCCCACGCTGGTCCTGCCTCTGGGGTGTTCCCCACCCTGCACCCCCTCCCCCAGGAAGGGGGGAGGGACTCAGTGACGCTTCTTGTTTTCTTTTGTACAGTGTTAGCATGACATAAGGTTACATTTTTAAACTAATATGATGAGTTTGCTACATTTATACCTAAATCGTGTGGCTGGCTTATTGTGAGCATTAAGATCCGAAAGAGAACGGCAAGCCATTCCTGCTCCGGGAAAGCCCTGACAGGGTGGCCTAGTCTGAGGGTCACCCCCAGACAGGTCCTGAGGCCTCGCAACGCGGCGACCCACTGACCTCCTTCTCGGTCCCACTCTGCTCCGCCACAAGCTGGTCAAACACGGCCCCGTAGTCCTCGTAGATCTTCTGCATCTCGTTGATGTGGCTTGCTACTTTCTCCATGGCCTTTAGTGCTTCTGCGAAACAGGAAATGTTTGTTGTATTTTTGCTTATCTCAAATCCTCCCAGAGGATGAAGCAGCTCAAGGTTCAAGCCAGGATTCGAGACCGTTCTTACAGCAGTTCTCCTGGATTGACTCAGACAGCCCATGAATAATCTAGAATTACCTCCCAACTCAAAATCTTTTTGAAATGAGGCAGTAAGTAAAAAAGGAAGGGAGTAAAAAGTATCACTCAGCACAACAGCTACCCCCTTAGCTGAGCGCTTTCGCTTTGCCATGTACTATGGGAGGTAATTGATGTGAATCCTCTCATTTAATTCCCACAACTCGATGACTAGGAACTGGAATCAATCCCATTTTACAGATGAGAAGACTGAGGCGCAGAGGGGTTAAGTATCCTGCCTGACTTCCACAGAGGGAAATAAGGAGCGGAGCCAGCCACTGGCCGCAGGGCGCCCGCTGTCGAAGTTGCCTCTCCTCCTGCGCCAGCTACTGGAATCGTGATCCATAACAGTTTTTAACAAGAACTTACAAATGTCTCTGTAAGTGCTTAATTGCCAGGGGAATTGTTGCACTTACGCATGGTGTTTATTTGTAACTTTTTACATGGGCCTGTGAGGGACAAAATGATTTTGTCAAAGCTCAAAAACAAAACTTGCGGTCACCTCCTACTTCGTTCTCCTGTCTCAGCATTTGGGTGACATAGAGGGAGTTGCGGAAGGCGGTGCTTTTATCCGAACCCTTGTAAAGATCACCGTAATGCAAACGAACCTTACAGTATTTGGAATATCCATCATAATTTGTATCATTTACCTGTAGAATTTAACTTCCATTCGGAAAATATTTTGTTCCTGTTCCTTATGATGCAAATGTTTGTGATAGTAAAAGAGCCAGTTTAATTGACACTCTTCTCAGTGTTGTTTATTCAGAAAAAGTAATAACTACTGGGTTTTTCCATCTCCTGGGGTTTTACTACATGTAGTTTAACCGGACGTCCTAGTTTTGACACATGGAGAACAATCACTGTTTCTCTCCAGTCCAACACAGCATCTCTTTGGGGGATACTCTGCTTCCTATCAAACTGAGCGGCTGTGTGTGCTGGACAACCTGCACCTTAGGCCGGTAATTTCCGAGGTGACAAGAAGACACGTCGGCATGGCCTCTGAAGTGTAATCCCTCTTTAGGAGCTTGGTTTCCGAGTCGGGCTCTGCCTGGAGATCTCCACAAGGTGGAGCCTCGCCCAACACAATCGATCAGCAGCACTTGGTGCAGCCAACCCCACAAACCCTCACAGAGACGCAGAATGGGCCTGCTGTTCAGGCCTCACAGCCCCGTCAGCAAGCCAAGGGACCTGACGTGACCCATTTCACGCCACGGGGCTTAAACGATCTTCTCTGGAAATGAAAATGGAATCATCCCTCCAGGTGGGCTCGGGGCTACTCCACCGAGGTGACTGTTGCCAAGTGCTTTGCCCATCTCAAGGGCCCGCCGTGGATCTAGCTTTTATCACACACCACATCCTCCCTAAGATTAACAGTCGCAGTACTGAGAGGTGTTTTAGAACGGGAGGCGGGGAGCGTATGGCTTTGCCGTCCCGTGACGAGCTGTGCCCGCTCCGGTCCTACCTGTCAGGTGATAGTGCTCCTCGCTGTCGTGGTCCATCAGCGACACCAGCTCCCTGAGCAGCAGAGGGTACTTGAGCACCCTCTGCACCGGCTTGATGAGGTAGGACTCCAGCGTGGAGGAGTGCTGCTTGGTGGGGTTGCGATCGTCCAGGAACGCCTTGAAGGCCTTGTCGGTTTTAGCTGCAAGCACGGGGACAAAAGACCCTTAGAAGAGCACAGCAGGACGCATTCACTTCTCCTCCATTTAGCTTTGAATGGCGTTACACATCGTCCATGGCCACAGTCCCCCGATGCCATTCCTGAATAAGTCCCCAGGGTATCAGTGGGCCAGGCACCCAGCTGTCCCCACGGATTCGGCCTCAGAGCTGTGACAAAGCCCTCCAAGGACGAAGGGAGCTCACGAGGCTGTGAGACCAGCACTGTCCGCACAGCGAAGAGGAGCACCGGCCCATGGGAGGGACTGTTACCGGTACCTAAAGAGTGAGGTGGGAACAACCCCAAAGCCCCACCACCATGCTCTCCTGCTCTTACATCATTCCCCTGCCCCCAAAATATTCGTAGGGCAAAATAAACTGGTATTTTTTTCCACTGCCCTAGCATAAACTGTTACGTACTCTATATACTTTAGGGCTACTCATAAAGCAGTATCTTTTTTTCCTTTTCTGTAAAACAAGTTGCTAAGCACTGCAGCCATCACCTCCCCAACTCCAAGCAAGCTAACCCTTCCATCCGCTCTAACACCCGGACAGGTCTGGGCAGCGGGTTCCACATCCAGTGTCCCGGAGAGTGCGCCCAGGGTCCGAGTGCCCTCGGCTTTGAGCCTGCCAGTGGATCCGCCAGCTGCTGCTTTGGACCCCACCTGCGGAGCTGACCAGCTGTTTGGAATTCAGCCACTTTGGAAGAACATATACCCTTAGTTGGGGTTTTGTTACAAAGGCAGAAGCTACAAGTTCTGGGAGATGCAGGGTCATTTTGAATGTGACTGTCCGACAAAGCGTGTGGTGAGATGACCCTTCTCCATCTTCATGATGGAGGAAGAGCTGAGCAAACCGTCGGCGCAGTGGGAGGAAGTCCCCGTGGAGGCAAATCTCTGGAGAACTGGAGAAGACAGAGTTGGCTGGGTCTGGTTAACCGGAAGCACCCCAGGCTCCGTTCTGAAACTTGAGCCTGTTCCAGGATACTCTGACATTCTGGTTTACACCCCAGGGCAGAACGGAGTCAGTGGAGCTGGTTAATCGCTCTCAATGTCCGGTTCAACCCTAAGGTCCCAGGTGACCTCCCCCTGGTTTGAGAAAGTAACATCAAAGAGCAAACTCGGGATCCTCTGACAAGGCCATTAAGATGCATTTGGTGACAGAAAAAGATGCTTGGAATTAGCTTGGTTGCTAATACTCTGTTGACACAACTAAAAAAAAAAAAAAATCAAATATAGAACCCTCCTCAACCATCGGCCATCACCACGGACGAGGGCCCCTATCCGCTGGCTTCTAGAGAGGCGGCACATCAGGACGGGGCCACCGGGGTTCCGAAGGCAGCATGCAAATCCCAGGGGAAGTCATTTTCATCCTGGAGACGTATGACATCACAACAGTTCAAACTTCGGTAGGTTTGCCCCTGA